CTTTCGAGGACGCGTGTGAAAACCTCTTACTGGTATTTTTTACTTTCACATCGCCATTGATCTCAATCTTTGACTCATCCTCGTTGTCCTCATATTTTATTTTTTCTAAAATTAAATCGATTTTTTTGATGAACTAAATGTAGCAGCTCACTATCAAAAATCACAATGAATATGGAACAGAAATACATAAGAACACGATGGGCAGAGCTATTGATTCGTATGCACGACTATCGTGAACGGAGCCCTTTCTCAAAAATTGTTCCGGACCAGCAAGGAATTGAACCACTCCCTTTCACGTCCCAACGCAACGCGTTACCACCACACCACCGGTCCTTGTGCTTCAGGTTCAGAAGTGCTGACAGCACATTTACTGTGTATCTTCCTTTTAAGACAAGACACATCGTCCTTTTCTCCTCTTTTTCTTCGCGGTGGCTTTTTGGCCGACTTTTCGCGATCTTTCCGCGGCAAATGCTTCACGTTGATGAAAAAGCCAGTTCCACGAAAAGGATGTGATCCGGGGGAATTTGGGTCTGATCCTTTATGTGTTTTAGCCTTTGTGTCTTTGTGTGTATGTGACACAGCGGGAAGAAAGCCATTCGTCTGCCGCTTTTGAATTTCGCCTGCCGCCTTTTGGATTTCGCTTGCCGCCTGAGGATTTCGCTTATCACCTTGGAAAAGCCCCGAAATTTGCGACACCGCAATTGTCTCTTCTTTTTTCAACCCCCACTTTTTCCCCCAATAATGATATCCTGCACGGTGCTCATTTGACTGAGAGTCTGATTGTTTATATGGTCAACAAGAAACGGATCCCGCCGTTTTTCATTATTTTTTTCGCCTATTTTGATTGAACAAAGAAAAAACAACATACTTTTTCTGGGTGAATAGCCTTCGGATTTCCATGCTCCGCGTTTTTCGTGTCTTTTATTTTCGCGAGTCGCATTTTTTGGCCCCTCGGCCTCGGCATCACCGCCAAAACGGATATGCATTTTCCCCTGAAAACAAAGAACAATTCGGTGAAAGCCCCTTTCTTCCTTGTCAGAAATCCTCCCCTCTCCAGCCGCACGGATACTTCCCTCATTCCAGCCCCGTAGCTGCCTTCGCTTTTCTAACTACCCCATGGTTCTCCCCTGTTCTTACTACGCTGAAGTCGTTGCCCCTTTTGAGTACCAAAGAGGGGAGGGGGGTATACAAATCCTGGGAAATACCAGACTTCCTGGAAACCAACGACTGAAGTTTGCGTATAAAAGAAAATTTGCCGTT